TATACATATATATATATATATATATATATATATATATATATACACACGTGTATATTTATGAGCTTATAGTAATTAAAAATAATATCGACAAGAAAGCATCGATAGATCATTGAATAGATAGTATCATAGATAGCTAGATCTATCTTTCCTTGATGTATCTTTCACGGATTTCATTCTTTCTATAGTTAATAAAAAAAGAAAAAAAAAAGAATGCAACACACACACATACACCAGAAAAACAATTCGTATAATCTTTATCTCTGAATCGATTTTATTCGAAGCTATACTTGTATAATCTTTAAAAAAGGAGAAAATAAAAAAACAGTGCGTGAACTCAGTGCGAGGAAATAAAATATAGATTTTTCTACATTTTATTATTGCGACTGATCGATGTTAAAAATAACTAACACGACTGCAATTTTCCCGCGATTTTAAAATTCGTCGAACGATTTGACGCAATTTACAAATATTATATATATATATATATGAATATACATAAGTATACACATGAATGTAGCTGTTATATAAACAAAAAAAAAAAAAATTAACTTTTTCTCGGGACTGACGAAAAATTCGGTATCCACTAGACGGTCAATTGAGAACACGATGTAAATGTGCACGAGCCGTAGTCGTATAGAAGAATCTTCTTTTCTCTATTTGTAATTCTATTAAAGAGGAAGAAAGGAAAAAAGAAAGAAAAAGAGAGAGAGAGAGAGAGAAGTCGTGCGAGACGTGTTTCCTCGAGAATTTTTCAAACTTTGCCTAATCAATTTCTTACCAAATGTCCACTTCGAGCCCGTCGACAAGCGTAATATTATTAATCGCGACAAGTGGTGAATAACAATTGCGTGAAACTCGAGAATTTTTTTTTTTTTAATAAAGATTTACTTTTAATTTTTTAAGAATTTTTCGAGAATAAAATTATAGTCTTATAGTTCGTATTCCAAATGTTAATTACGAATTATTCTTTCATTTTAATCACACACAAACAATGTGTATTCAAACGTGTTTCCAAAAATGTGACAATCCAACGAAGAGCGTTCGCTCTAAATACGTGATTTAAAATAGAAACAAGGAGGAATCGAAGAGCACACGTCGATTGTTTTCACCCCAGGTCGTGTGAATCGATCTTCCATTTCGAAAAATAAAAAAAAAAAAAAAAAAAAAAAAAGAAAAAGAAAAAAATCAACTCACGTTTCGACGATTTTTCGAGACAAAGAATCTTTTCTCTCTTAATATCTATATTAATATATACATGTCCGAGCAAAGTGTCCTAGTCTTATATCTCGTGAGTGAATCTTACATCGACGAAATAAAAGCGAATTTTCGATCGTTAAGGGATAGACGATGAATAGATCGAATTATTGGAGGGATGGAGAATCAGAAATTCGTGAAATCGATTCGTTGCATTCTGAATTGTTTTCAGAAATTTTCAGATCATTTGAAAATTTGTAAAAATAAGTGTGCAGATTAAGCAAACGTTTTAATTATTTAAATTTTAATTAAAAATGATTGTCAATATCAGCGATTGGTCATATACAAGTTGTATAATTATATTTATATTTTAATAATATAAATATATTTCATTTCTATTCTTTCATTAACTTCAAATAAATTAAATTATTGTAATTATATATCATCTTTCAGTTTGCGCCTGTATAATCTGCAACTACGAATCAATCACTAACATTTATTTCGCGCGAATAAAGTATGATAATTCAGACAAATCAATTTTAATTTCCTCCAATTGTCTTCAATAATTCATCACATCGTAAACATAGCCGTGAAACATGACTCAACGGATTTCTATTGCAATCTGTAAATGTTGGCTCGTAATGTTGTATTAACATCGAGCCGAAAGAAACAGCTTCCAACGTGAAATTGCATGGCAATAAATCAAATGCCATTAAGAGACGAAAAAAGGAAAAAAATAAGCACTGTATATCATTTCTGTCGCTATTTCTTTCTCTTCTCTTCGTTCGACTGTTCAACTGTGGGGCTGTGATTGTCACCAAAAAAAGAACAAAAAGAACCTTAAATAGAAAGAAAAAAAAAAGAAAAGTAAAATGGCCGTAGCACGATGCGGGGTAAATTGTTTCAAAATGATCGTATATTCATTTTTACTCTTTCTTTCTCGACATACATTCACGATAGATAAGATCGTTCAGGGATGACGAAAGTTTACGATCCGCATTTCCGCGTGATTTCATCTGAACAAACGCCTTCGTAGTTCATACACGGTCTTCCCATCGATGCTTGAACGTTTCCTTGTTAAAAGATTAATTTGTAATAAGGAAGCGGTAGATAAAAAAAAAAAAAAACACGACGATGAGATTTCTAATTGTGAATCTTTTTAAAGAAGATGATTTGTTTTATTCGTGGTAGGTTTTACGCTTCGAATTATTGCGTGTTAGATATATGTGTAATGATTGTATGTGTGTATGTGTGTAAGCAAAAGAGAGAAAGTAAGAATGAGAGAAAGAGAGAAAATGAGAATGAGAGGGAGAAAGAAAAAGAGAATGTGTTGAGAATAAAAAGAAAAAAAAATAACGCTTACCTACCTACGATAATTTATTACCGACCGTTTCATTTGTATCGACGATATATGACGAAAAATATCGATCGTAGACGAATTTAGCGTAGATAGGTTTCGTACTTCGTATTTATTGAACATTACTGAATCCATTATATATCAAGTATCTCATGTATTGGAGCCGAAGAGGACAATTGAAAATAAATAATTGTAACCAAATGCGATGATTGTTTTTATTTTTCCTTTGAGAAGCTGCAACAAATAGTATTTTTTAATTGAAATTATATGTTCTTTTATAGAGAATATTAATCTGTGTTGACTAATGGTTTATTTTTAAAAAAAATAAATAAATAAAATTTTACAGGTTCTTTTATGCATCATCCTACAAAAAAATTAATAAAATACTTTAAATCTTAAAAATCTTATTTAGCTTTTATTGGAAAAGTTTTTTTAATATTATTACCATCGAAAACAATTTCTGCTAAAAAGCAAATAAAAAAAAAATATGCAAGAAATGGCGCGTTTCAAATCTTATCCCAATTTATCTTGCTTTTGAATTAGTATTTCTAGTGCTCAAGAGATGGTGCTGATTGTCAATTCTTATTCTATCTCTATCCTTCTTTCACTTTATCGTTTTATTTTCTCTCTTTATCTTTTTATGTTTCATTTGCGGCACTCTGGAGATGGCGCTGATTTCACAATTTTTATTCTATTTCTATCCTTCTCTCACTATTTGCTCTCTTCGTCTACGTATGTTTCATTCGCGGCATTTTGGAAAAGATTAATTCTGCGAAATTAAAATATTCAAAATATACGCTACATAAAACGTAGCTTATGCAAATACTGTACAAAATTTCTACATATTTGGAGTTATTAAAATATTTAAAGGTAACTATAAATTTGGGGAAATAATTTGACGATCGTTATTTTGTTTCGTTCAAATGTCAAATGGCATTTTGTTAAATTTTCTGGTAATGACGGAACGACAGATAAATTTTCTGCTGATATTAATGACAATTTGGTTGATGCACGAAACTGCTAGAATCTTGAACAACATGAAATGAAGTATTGGTATAATAATTAAAAAAAAAAAAAAAAATCCTGATTTTAGATAAAACAAAATTAAATATTATTGATTATACAATACAAAATTAAGATATATATCATTATTCTTAAAAAAACGATAATGGATGAATTTTATAAGAATATCTCGCAACAATACGGTGTAATAAAATATCATAGTGATATAATTCCTTTCTTGAGAAAATTTAAAATGATTCCTTTCTGAAATTGAATCCAAACTGATCACACTTGTAACGTAAAATTCTTGCCAATTGTGGTGGGCCACAATAAAAGATCGTCACTTTGCCTTTCTTCTGATCCTGAAGATGTTTGAACACCTTATCCCAATTTGGTCGGCCAGCATTCGTCCGTGTCTTCAAACCTGTTATAAGATCCCGTTTTTCCTGAAAGATTATCCACATGGAATAATACAATTCTTCATTGCAAGATCATCATTTTATTTATTATTATTTCTGAGTCATAAAATCTTGAAGAAAAATTTTTTTCATAGAAGAAATAAAAAATGAAATTTATTAATTATTTCTACCATTTGATGAACCAAATCCATAGCCAATTGCAATGTTACAGCTTTCATATCACTTTTTTGTAAAGCACTGGTAATATACATATGCATCTCAAGAAAACGTTCCATGGCGTCACCTAATTCTGCTTGTTCCATTTCCAATTGAGATAATAAATTTACAAACCACTCGAAGGATCGTTGATCTCTGTTGATCCAAAAGAATCAACCTGAAAACAAATGTTAAATGTTGTACTACTTATATTAATTATTAAATATTTCATATATTATTATTAATATATTATGTATTTGTATTATATACAAAACTTTTATTGATATATATAATGAACAAACATATTGAATAAAGAATTGAAATTTTAAATAGACATTTCATTTATCTACATTTCATTTTTATATGGTATGTATATATATATACATTAAAGGTATATACATATATACCTTTCGAAGATGCATCACAGTAGGAGGAATTTCACTAGCCCACGAAAATTTGCATTTTGGACAAGTGTGCCTGGCTTTCCAATAACGATGCATGATAGATTGTAATATGGAAGCAAAAGGTGTGACTCCGATTCCAGTTGCAATTAAAACTGCGTGTTGAGCTTGGAATATGTGGCTTGAAGGAGCTCCGTATGGTCCATCCAAGAAAATCTAAATAAATTATCTATTAATTTAAATATTATTATTTTTTATCAATTAGATTATTAATTATTCTTAAATAATTAAATAAAAAATTATCGTTCATCAAGAGATTTCAGAATAAAAATTTATTATTTAGACACCTCCAATGGTTTTCCAACAGTATAGTTCAATGAATGAGAAATTGAATCAAACTCGATATCGTTCCTTTTTGAACTTTCTTCGAATTTTATTTGCAATCTACCCTCCTCTGCTGCCGATTGAATCCTGCTTAAATTATTGGATTGTTTTCTTCTGTATTCTTGTATTGCTGTTCAATCAAAAACAAAACTCGATTAATTTGAAAAAATTATATGCAGACAAGTGTTTCACACTTTTACGTTTAAGAATTTGTAAATTCTTTAAGCTTACTATTTTTGTCGCCTGATTCCAATTCATACTTTTCCAAGCTTGGAGTCTTGAAAGCAATTATAGTGGGTTTGTTCCTCATGTATCGAAAGCTTTGCGCCAATCCTTTATTCTGAGGGCTTGAATAGACCTCGTTTAAGGATTTCAAACGTGCATCGCGTATTTGACGTTCGTTGAAATTTCTCTCTGATTCTGATCTTGTATAATCACGAAGTCTATCGAGTAAATGTACCACGAAATATTATAAAATTATTCTATCGATTACAAAAATTCTAAATAATTACAAAAATAATGTTACGTTCTAATACAAATATAATAGAAATATGTATGAAATTATAGATAATTTATAATTACGCAATTAATCGATCATTTTTCTTTTTTCCTGGTAGCATGTCAGGTACGGATACAGATTTCTCCAAAGGCATCTTGCTAACGAGCAGTGAATGATGAAGCTTCCGATTGTTCGACATTTTTTTAACATCCGTTATACCTGTACGAAGAAATTTATCGAATATAAAATGCTGTAAAATATAGAATAATTTAATAATAATTTAAAAAGCGAAGAAGCTTATAAAAATACCAATTTTGAGACTCGAGTAATTTTAAAAAATTCCGAATAAATTACCAATTGCAGACTGAGGCGATTGTGTTATTTTTTCATCATCAGAAGCAAACACGGGATTATCAAAGCTACGATGAATGGGTGAAAGAAATTTCTCGTTCACTTTTCCATTCATGGAGAACCTGGAATTGAAAAAAAAAAAAAAATGTGAGACTAATGTAGATTACTCTACACAAGCACATTTTTTCATCTAATATAAATATAATAGAATAAAATATAATTTGAATTAAAATTCTATATCTGTTCAATTTTATTCATACGATAGCAAATTATTACTTTTATTTCGTAAATTAATATTATTCCTGCAAATTAATTAAAATGAATTAATTATTATCACATACGAAACTCACACTAACTCAGAAACGTTCGCATTATTGCGATTCTCAATTGGAAATATATTATCCCTTTGAAGTTTCATCTGCTCCTTTTCAAAATATGAGTAAAGACTATTGGTCCATTCGCCCACTGCTCGAATGTGAAGCCATATATAGTCTATTAAAATAAAATAGAAAAAAAAAGAAAAAAACGTTTGAGATATCAGATTCTAGCTTGAAATTTTCTGATGAAAATCATTTCTGAAAATAGAAAATTTTCTTCTTTTCCTCTCCTCGTGTACTTTTAATTGCTAGCTTTCCATCTTATTGTCAAACATTATAATAAATTGATTATTCGAACCTTCTTGTTCTGGAGCGCTGCTAATAGTGAATGGATGCCATTCGTAACGGGCTATAACAGGAATATTCACGAAGACGTAATCACCGGGATGAAAAACGAAATGTGGGGGCCTCTTGATGACCAAATGCGTGACTTTCGACGGTAGAAGAAGACCTGAGCTTATGTACGTTTTTCCTAATTGCGAACGAGACCAGGCAATTCTATGTATTCTTTCCAACAAATATATTGTGCCTGGCCCTATGAACCATTTCCAAAAATTCGGCGCGTGTAATATGACCAATATCCAGTATGGTACGTATAACAAATGGGACCAGTAAAATATCTGTAAAATATTAATAAATTAGGAAATTAAGAAGATTGGAACGAAATAACAAGATATAATTCTAAAATATTTTAAAAAACATTAATAAACAGAAGATTAAATTCAAGAAATTTAAAACAAATTGTCAAAGTGTATATATTTTTTTTATTTGCAATTGGCGACAATTAAAAATTAAAAAAATTACTTATAACCTCGAAACATCCACCACGTCGAACAAACGGCATCGAACAAATCATTATTACGAGGAAAAGGATGACAAGAATGAATCCAGTCGGGTTTGCATAGCCTTCTACGAGACCAAACAGAGCAGGTCGACTCGTCAATAACCATTCGGATAATGTATAGTTATTGTGATTGAGAATTTCGTCATGGATAACAACGGTACCTGAAAAGTGTTGAATCTTGAGAAAGATTTGAAAGAAAAGAGAAACCTTTGCCTTGCACGCATCATACCAAAATTAAGAAGATGCATCAACGTGTGAGCTATGCTGAAGACACCGATTAAACCTCCAGTCACTTTGTGCAGATAAATGTGTTGATCCAGTGGCAATACAGAATTGAAACCGTGAGTTCGTAGAAAGGTGATGCACTGACGCAGCATAAGAACCAGGATGAAGCTGCAGTTGAAATTCAAGCACTGGCCTGTATTAAAAATATATCTTCTTCTAATTACTACATCGATATTGCATTAGCTTGGAATTGCATGCAATTATAATCTTTTTAATTCATATACACAATTTTTATATAAATTCATTCAATTCGATTTATAATGTAAAATCGATATTACATTATTTGCTAAAAATTGCGTGCAATTGTAATCTTTTTAATTCACAATTTTTGCATAAATTCATTTAATTCAATTTATAATATAAAATGATCTTTACCACATGCACGAGCAAGCATAACATAGCCATTGGACTTTCTGTACTCGTAGAGTCTCGACACGAATAAAGACACGTTGATCAGGACAAAGATCGAGATGAAAACGATGTAAACGTAATTGTTCTTTATGTACGGCTTCGTCAATTGATAAGGACGCAACGAAGCGAGGAATTGCAAGCGTGATTTCCTCTTCGATTCTGGTTTTGGTGGTACTAGCCATCGATCGATACTAAATTAATAAATAATAAATAAATATTTGTTAATAGGCGAGGACGTGACGATGAAAAAGATTATCCCACCTGATTGAAAGATTCTCTAAAAGTCCTTCGTGTTTCTCTAACTGTTTCTTCAAAGCTTCGAAAGTAATGGCGCCTCGGTTAGACTGATCGGCATCATCGAACAAAGCCATGGTTAATTCCTCGATTTGTTCCTCGCTAAATCGTATTCCATTTTCCTCCAAACAAGCTCTCATCACGTGTTCCAACTCGCGAAGCTGTATCAATCCATCGCCTTTCCGTATAAAATAAATTGAATAGTGAATAAATTGGGATAATAATAAAAAAAACAATAACAATGTCAAATGTTATTTTTGTACCATCAATGTCGTAAACCTTGAACAGGAATTTTATCTTGTCGTCAGGACTTTTTCCTGCAAACTGGTGCATAGCATCGACGAACTCCTGAAGAGATATGGTTCCAGAATTATCCTTGTCGAAAATTTGGAACACTCTGTCGGTGAAGAACGGCTGAGAAAATAATATTTTTTTTTTTTTGAACTAAAATTTCAGGATATTTTAAAGATTCGATCAAAGTTTCATTGAAAATTCGAGGGAGGAAATAAATGATAATATTGCAAATTCGAAAATGAAAAATACTTATGCCTCCTGCCTACGTTCTTCGAAGTGACGATTTTGTTGAATTCTTCGCGTCTAATTTCCTTCTCATTGCCCACCGTCTGTTTGAAGATCTTTTCCAGCCATTCCAGACTTCGCTTGTCGAATCCAGCGAGCGGCCTATGAAATTTTACGAAAAGTTAACGAATATCTATCAGATATCTTATAAATTTTATTAAAAAAAAAACCAAATAAGAATTATTGTTAATTCATTCTACGAGAATATTCTTCCACACATCATCGTAGATATAAAATGAAGAGTAGAATAAACACAAGCAGTATTATTATTTAAGTAGTTAGTATTAGAACAATGCAGACGTGTCCTTGATATACTTGGAGTATAAGTAGTATAGATACGTTCTAATCAGACGTTAACCATACACGAGTTAGATTTATAGAGTGTTATTATTATTATTATTAAGTTTGGATTTTTTTCAATAAAATGGCAAAAAATTCGAAACTTGAAAAATATTAAAAATATCATATATCTATTTCTCATTTATTTCAAAGAAGAAATGAACGAAAAGAATAAGACAGATTCTTATTCTTATTCTTCGAAGCATTCCAAATTCATTACTAATTAAAATGTTCTATCTAGTATTTTTTTTTTTTATTTTTCAAGATATTGCCATAGACATGTGTCACAAAGAAAGTTATACTTTTCATACATTTAGGTTTCGAAATGTTAAATGGAACATTTTAATTAAGGAATTAAAGGAAAGTTGAGCACCATTATGGTATTACCATTATGGTATTATTGTCTCGATTTGTCAGTGATACAATTTTAAAGGTGAAATACATAAACAAATAACGAAACAACAAAAGTCTGACTTGGCAACAAGCAGAGTGGAAAAGAATTTTGAAATATTCTGTCGACAGTCAATATTATTGAAGACACGTGTATAGAATCGACATCTTTGCCATTTTTACTTCATAACTTCATAACTTTTACTTCATACTTGTAAAGTGAACAATTTCGTTTATTTTTTTTAGCAATATTTGATTTATATCGAAACCAAGATTGTTTTATTTTATTATCATTATTAATATTTTAATATTCTGTGTATAATTATAAGAGTGGATTAAAATGCAAGAATAGAAGAACAACAGAACTTTAAGAAGATGAATCAATCTCTACAGAAGTAATTAATCACAACTCCAAACTATTTTAAGTGATTTAAATATTTCTCCACTTTGGAGGAAAAAGTTCGATTAAAGAAATAATTGAGGAATAATTGCATGTACAATATTCTTCTCAAAAAGAACGAAAAATTAAAGAATATGAAAGAACATGTTTTTTTGTCCACAAAAACAAATTTAAAGATAAATTTACGAAAAAAAAGAATTCGAAGGATATACTTCCGAAGACAACCAAAAAAATAATCCTGCTGTGTTCTCTAAAAAATATTTTGAAATTGTTACGTGAAATATGATACTTAATAGTTTCCATTATCGATTTTTACTTATTCAGTATCAGCACAATTATCCAATGGACACAATGTTCATCTAATAAATTTCCAATATCAAGGAAGAAATGAAGAATACCGAATATATTAGCAAAAAGTTAAAATATTCAATGGAATCGAAGTAAGTAAAATTACTATTCATATTATTTACAAAATTAATGCCAAAAAAAATTAACGCAATATTCGATATAAATGAAATTGAAGAAATTGATTTTAAAATTTTGATGGTGTACGTACACGATAATCGACATTTTCTTGACGAAGGCATCAATGTTTCTTCGCCACTGTGAATTTCACGCATTGCGATTTTGCGTGAATATAAAAAAAAAAAAATGTGCAAAGTTCGCTTATATCGATATTTGTTCGATATGATTGCAAAAATCTTAGAAAGTATCCACGTTGAATTGAGAGGAAAGAAGAATATAATTTCGTCGAAGAAATATTCAAAATGTTTGGGATAGGAGAGAAATATTTATCAAGACGCAAAAGAAAAAAAGAGAAGTACTCTGCGTGAGGAGAAAAGAAAAAGTAGAAGATGCAGACAATTTTTTCGAAATATTCAAAATGTTTGGAGAAAGAGAAAGAAGAAGAAATATCGGATGAAGAATGGGAAAAAGAAGAAAAAGAGATAAGATAAATTATCAAAAATGAAGCTTCAAACGAACAAATTTTCTTTTCGAATTATCCTTTCCAAAAATAATGGAACACCCAGTACATTCCCCTATCTATTTTATCTATCCCCCTATTTTCGATTTTACAAATTTAATAGTCATTCGTAGACTGATTATTTTCTATTTCTAGTCAATTCCTATTAAGAATCGATTTGAAATTCTTCATCTTCGCAACTGGCGAGGCAAACAATGCTGTTGTATCGGAAAATATGACGAAAATGAATTAAATGATATCCAAAAATAGTAGAGAAATGATTCGAAATGTAGATTCTTCAATTAACAAGAATAAATAATGCGATATTGAAAAATAGAGATAGAAATTAGGAGAAATATCCAAGAAAAAAAATAATACAGCATAATGAACAATTGACAACCAGTGTAACGCCATTTAAAAGATTTGAAATATCTTTTTTGAATTCGAAGAAGATCATCAAATTCTCATCGAGAAGTTGATGACAATTTTTCGAGAACAAGACATCCTTATCAACATTATATATCTGTAAATTTTTATTTTTATACATATTTTATACGTCTTCATTTTTAATTTTATTTTCAAATAATTATTATTTACAGATGTTACGTTATTTAGAAGATGAAATAATTGCAATGGTGAATTCAACAAGTATCTAGAAATCAAGAAGATATTCGAGATACAAGAATTTTTCTGCCAATAATTTATAGGTTAATATTCTAAACACTAACGAGACTTTTTAATATTTAATTTTTTGACATTTAAAACAACGTGCGATTTTAAATTTAAGAAACACGAAAGATGAAAACGTTCGAGAATAAAGACAAAATATGATGGAAGATAAATGAAACTTTCTCATAAACTAGAAGCCTATTTTGTAATTATTCGTTCTTTAATAACAATTGCAAAAGTCGCAAAATAATCATTTATAGATAAAAATAAGTTAATAAAATTGTTATTAGATAAAATTGCAATATTAAAATCACCTTGTATCGCTGATGTTCGAAAGGAATTCCATGATTTGAAAGGATGTGATGTACCCCAAATTTTCTTCATCGATTCGTCGAAATAATTTATCTACGATCTGTAACATAGATGTGCAAAGAAACGAATGATTAAAAATTGTAATATATACAAGTATATTAAATAAATGTAATCCGTTCGAAATGAACGTTAATGAATCTTTTATAATTTTTAGAAAAAAAAAAATTACTATATCGAGTTACCTCTTTGGTGGAAAATATTTGTTGAAATTTTTCAAAAGTTACTGGATTATCACAGCATATGGAATATGCAACGTTCTCGAATTGAACGATGAGATCATTTGATTTTTCATTTCTATTAAAATAAAATAATTTATTTTAACGTACCATTTATTTATAAATTTTTAAAATAATCATATACGTAAGGCGTTAATTAATTCTTACTTCAATCTCCCCTTTAAAAATTCGATCCATTCATCTTGCGTCAATATTCTGTCTCCATTTCGATCGAATAACGAGAACAATTTGTCCATTAACGTCTGAAATTTATTTCATTCTTACGATTAGAAAAAAATCACAAAAATGTATGGATAATTTATTTTTAAAAAAAAGGAATCAAAATATTTCAAAATCTAAATTCTGAATACTCAAAATTCGGATATCCATTTAAATATTAATAATATTTCGATCTAAATAACGATCCAAAATTCCGAACAATCAAAATTTACAATAATAATATTTCGATTTAAATTAAATGATTCAAAATTCCGAGTATTTGAAATTTAGATATCCATAAATCTTAACAATAATAAACAATAATAATATCGCCACTAATAATTCTATTATCAATAATACGAAATATCTTCTCTATCAGTAATTGAGAATTAGCATTAAACGATCTCTCGTCTCATTTCTGACTCGAAAGAAACGAATTATCATCGAGCAGAAGTTAATCAATCACAAGCACGACGAAATAACGAGCGTGGAACATGCTGGAGGCGTGAAGGCTGATTGGCCGGGGGCAATCGGCCACCTTGATCGAGATCTCTGCCCGATCTCGATGGATCTTGCCGTTTCCTTTCGATCCTGTCACTCTCCTCAGGGTATCCTTCTTCCTTCGAACAATAATGCATCCTTCGATATTAAATCATACCTCTTCTCGCCTCGATGGTATTCGCTTTTAATGAAAACGATTGACGATTCCCTCTTCTTGATTCCCATCATTTTCTCGCCGTTACTGTTTTCATTGAGCAGTTTCATGAATTTCTTTTTCGATCAAATTATTGATTATTGATTATTTCTAGTTTCTTTCTGTTTGAATAATGCAAACATTGTCCGTGTATCGATGCGATTATTTACGAAATATTTTCAGATATATTCGAATATTTTAAGCAGAAATACGTTAGCGAGTAAAAATTGTTCTTAAATATTTGTATATTTTTTTCATTTATACAAATATTTGCAATTGTAACATTCGTATTTTGATACGAATATGATATAATGTTCGCTTATTACATGGTATATACCAATGAATGTAAATAAGACGAAAATATTGTATACAAATATCTCGAGTGGAAAAAGAAAGGAACACTGCTTTGGCCTTGACCTTTTTAATAAAGATTAATATAGAATAAGACATTTCATTCATTGGAGACGAATTAAAATGAAGTTTTTTCATATATTTGCAATAGTGACAGTCTTGTAGAATTGTATAATCGCGCTTTATTAATTTACATAACGAAGATATTGTTGAAACAAAAATAAAATATATAAATAGAAAAAATAGAATAAAGAGGAGGGAAGAAAAGCAAAATTTCAATAAGAATATTCCTGTATCCAAGTATTAACGAACCTATACAAATAAATAATAATTTTAAGCAAAAAAATTAATATTTTTTCCTCGTTTAAATACTATTTATTTATTAATTTGCATTAATTGATAAAAATAAAAATTGCAACAAGTATATCCCTCTTCGATTAATTTGATTATTGAAAATAAAAATATTCACCGAATCTTGCAAAAGTTGTTTAAACGCTTCTCTGTTGTAACGAGCCACGCCATTCAGCCCAATTATATGAGAACATTCTTCCAACGTAGTCGCTCTTCTTCTTTCGATCAAACACTCTTTTTCCATACAGCTAACTTCATTTTCCATTTTTTTTTTTTTTGATCTTTCTCAAAACTCCTATTATCAATAATAAATAACTCCTTCGATCATCAAAAAGAAAAAGAAACTAATATCGCTATAACAATTCACAAAAAGTTCATTTTAATTGTACGAAAAAAATAGTCACTTCAAATATTTTCATCGAATTCTTAATATTTCGGAAGAAAATTAATGAATCAAATATTGTTCCACTTAAACTTGTTTATTCTTCCTGCCGTTCTACATATCCGTAATAGAAATTTCCTTATTAACAACACTTCGTGGAAAAATCCTCAGCATCTAAAAGAGTGTAAAATTTTAATTAATTAATCGTTATTCGATGTTGAATTAATTAATATTTTTATTAATTCAAGAAAAGAAAACAGATTATTCGTACGATCACAGTGTTTACAACACGGTAAACGAATCGATCGGCGGATAGACCCAAACTAACGAACGAAAATCGGTTGATATCGACGAATCCTGAGAGATCCACCGCTTCAGATTCAGAATTCTCAGAGGAGAGGGATGCCTTTCGATTTCAATAAAGACCATAGGTTCAAACACGAAGAAACAGACAGACGTATGTTACAATACAAACAAACCAACCTTTCACTTCTTCGTGAGTCATCGCTCCTTTTTTCGTCCCTTCCATTTTTTTTTCGACTCGCTTTCTTTTTCTGATTTTCATCTTTTCCTTTTTCCGTCTTATTCAAACGTCATTCTTCTTTTCTTTATTAAATATCGATTGTGCACGAATATCAAGATGAATCAAATTAAAATGGTATCATTTTTATTTTATTACCTATTTTATGAAAAAATCTCTCTAAAAAGAATAGAAAAAATTCTTAATTTTTACATATATAATAAATATCGAACAATTATTTCAGTCCATTCTTTTAGAATGAATTACTGTATACAATAAAACTATTATTACTACTACTACTATTACTACTACTACTATTACTACTACTACTACTACTACTACTACTACTACTACTACTACTACTACTACTACTTCTATTATAATTATTACATATTTTAAATTTAAAGATTTTCTATCAATATTTTACATTTCCATCGGTGTGAAAATGAAAAAATGATTGATAGTAAAAAGCGTGCGACAAAAAAAAAAAAAAATAAGCGAAATAAGCTTCCCAGAAAGCACTACAACATTTTACCCATCTACTTATCTACAGTATCTACTTTTCTACAATACATTACTTTATTTAACACCCTTGATTGTGCATGCACTTAATTCTAAATATATTTTCTTTAATCAATTATACAATCTTCTGTTTCTGTAAAAAATCCTGAAACAAAACACATAAATTAAAAACATTAAAATTTTACTTATTCTACAAGTTTTTTCCGTATTTCCTATCTATATAAGAATTTAAACATTCGTTTCTAGCTCTGCCTATTGAACATCTAACAAATTCTCCTCGTATCAACATTCATCATATTTACATTCACACTGATTGATAATTTTCAAAAAATTTATGATATGATATAAAACCACATATGGCAAGAGGAAAATGCAAATCAGTATATATCAATGAACAAAATCACGTAATTATATCAAATATCAAACACTTGTTTATAATGAAGAAATAAAGGAATTAAGAATGGCAGAATGATCATATTGCCTTGAAAAATAGGAAATATAGGTTTGGAAAACGAATCAGAATCAGGGAGAGCAAGGTTGCTTTTTTTAATAATAGGAAGAAGAAGAATAGAACATCGTTTATAAATCCCATCGATGAAAAAACTAAATGTTTCCTACAACCTAATCCAACCTAATATCAAAAATTAGAATATTTAACTGATGATGAAATGTAATCCGTTCCATTGAAAGCTGAAGAGGTGAAGATTCCTGAAACAGACTATACAACAGAATTAGTGAAATAATAACAATTACAGAGATAATTAATTTCTAGCAAATGAGAATCACACATTATTTCATATCTATTTTTTCCTGTTTATTCTCTTCAATTCTTCATACCTGCAACAAACTCAATTACTGGATTAATAATTAAAAAATAATCTGGGAACAGGAAGATTAAAAAAAAATCAAATTATCAAAATTTTGTTAAGCAATTCATTATTTTAAATGGAAGATATTTATC